CACTGCATTATTTTTTCAGTGAACGAAAAGATTTTCATCTACTTCAACTAATAAATTTGGACCACCAATTTAATTTTTTTTGTTCTCCACATACCAAATACTAAATTCTCATAAGCTACTGCATTTTTCCAATATCTAATTCATGTTTGAAATACGTTACTGAAGTAAGTACTCTCAAACTGATTAATAGTCAATTATTTATTCTTAGATTATTTATACAATTATGCATTATAATATGATTATATAAATTTATTATTTTATTATTATCGATTATAAAATATTAAAAAAAGCTAAATATTTTTAATTAATATTATATTGTTAAATTAACTCATTATTTTTTATTTATACTTTATTATTATGTATGGCAGGGAGATAATAAACCTAAGTGGCAGGGCTATGTTTTCACTTGCCTGAACAGTGTTTTAACAAACCAATACCAAAACTAGATAGTTATAATTAAATTATTTTCATACTTGTAAATCTATCTCCCTTTTATGTCAATAATAGTCCAATTACTCAAGAATCTGAGTGTTGCATTCAATTGATTATATAACTGTTAATATTTGTTTTTATTGTGTTGAAGTACGAAGTTTAACTCATTATCAAATGGGTTATAACAAACAAGTACCAAGAAAAAAGAATTTAAAAACGCTTCAAAGTGTAAAATTCGAGGCCCATAGATATATAATATCATATTATACTTATATTATAATAATATTAAAACAACTTTTAATTTATCATTGCTATATACTTGAGATTAAGCATTAAAATCAATAAACAAAATCAAAAATATGAATACAATTTTCATAATTATCTATGGGTCTTACAAAAGTTTAAAATTTGAAGCAATTTATATGGCACTTTAATGGGAAGACTTAATTATACCTTAACTTATTTACCCTGTTAAAAATAAGGGATTATTGCACATAACATTAATAACAAACCTAAACATTTAGTAGTGGTCACGCGACATTCTCCAGATTTGAAATGTATTTCTGGTTCATCTTCTGATGTTTGATTTTGGTTTACACTCATAGTAGAAAGCATATGCGTTTGTTCAGGAGGAAATATTGTTCCATAAAAAACCATTTCCCAATCAGTCATGGTAGCTAAAATCAAAAATGTATATATAAATTTATTAAGAATAATTTTAAAAAGTATCAATTAAATAAAAATCAAACTATAATTATCAAAATATTAAACACAAACTATAAATTTTGCAACATAAATTGTGAACTAAAAATCGTAACATTTTACTATTACTTTCTACAAATATTCAAATATGAAATAATTTGAAAACATATTCAATAATAATAAGAAAAGTAGACATTGTAGCATAAGTAATGATATATATACAAATATAATAATGAAAATTAAATTAAGTATGTGAATACAAATTAAAACGAGGAACTCTTTAAAAATGTAGAATACATTATGATGTAGTATTGTAAATAAATTGTTGATTTACAATAGTATGATATTACAAGTAGATTATTATATTTTAAATACGATCACAGTAATGATTAAAAATGACTAATCACAAATGTGTGTATATAAACTATAGTAGGCAATATGTGTAGTTTGCTCTTTTTAACTTTAAACAAAAATCTAAATACTTTGTAGATTAATAATTAATTTTATTAAGTTAAAATCATCAATTTGAAGTAATGTTTAATAAATAAAATTTTTCTTTTCATAAATATAAGAAATAATTATTTATAATTATAAATATGTTAGCAAATGCTTTTTTCAACTAAGAAATAATGTGCAATAAAAAAAATACTATTTAAAATAAACTAATATAATTCAACATAAATAAATACATAATATATGATTACACAATTAAAATAAATACCCTATGGTGTGCTAAAATACAAAGATATTTGACTAAAATAAGCAAAATAATAAATGATACCTATTTTTGTTTATTAAATTATAATTATAGCATGGCATGCAGAGAAAATAGTAATTTCCATGCTGACATTCTTGCCTGAAGTTGTAGGTGATATATTTCTTTCAGGTGACAAATTTTTTTTTGTCTGCCTGCCATCCACATTTTGTAAACTGTAGAGTCTATGGCTGCTAGGATATGTTTGGATGTTGTCTGTTAGTGTAGGAGACAATTTGGATGAATTTTGAACAGGGAATAAAACAATATGAACATTTGGTTTATAACTAGAAACATTTTGTTTTATCAAGGTACTAACTGAAGTGGTAGACTGTTTTTGTGATTTACTTTTTTTTGATTTTTTTTTTGTATTTTTAGAATTTCTTCGAGGAATTGGTTTAGGTGGCTGTTCCACAGGATAAATATTAGGAGATAATGTCCTTGGGGAATATTTAGTACCATACAATATCAAACACCACTCGTGTAAAGAAGATCGACCTAAAGCACATTAATTTGTAAGTGGTAATAGATTGTTAGTTAATCACAGAACTTGATAAATTTAAACATTATGTAGTAATATGTACATAATTTAAACGTATTATTATAATTACTTAGTTAAACTTAATGGTATTGAAAATTTAAATATGGAAAAGAATAAGTTTAAAAATATTTTAATTTAATTTTTACCTAATAATTTTCCTTCGTTATGAATAGTCAATTGCCAAGTACCAAAAGGGCGTTCTCCCCACATGTGTACAGTCATAAATGGCCACACATGAAATCCAGCATGAGAATTATCATGAGTTCTTGGAGCAAGTAAAGTTGATTTTGTACCACTTGGAGAAGTCAAATCAATTTTGATATCACCACGTCGACTAGCTGTTAATGATATTTTAGCTTGAACATGTTCTAAAAAATTCACACTATTGCATTCTTTTACTAAAAGTTGTATAGTGACTGTGCTACGTGCAGGTACTGGTCTGTAATATAATTTAAACATTAAATAATTATAAGTAAATAATTTATTAAATAAAAATAAAAATGTATTTAATCAAACATACTTTTCAAAAACTTGAGCAGTAACATTGCAAATATGTTGAACTGGGACAGTTTTCCACTTACGAGCTAATCTTACCATTGAAGTAGCATCCATCAAACCATAGCCAAAAGAATGACTCACTAATAAAATACAAAAATATTAAAATATTAATTCAAGATTAACATATTAAAGCAATTTATAGCTTTTATTTATTTTTTACAATAAATATAGATGTATAATTATTTTTTTTAAATTGTTAAAAAGTTTAATATCCAGGTAACAATTAATGATTTAATTCTGTTATGCATAAATACCTTTTCGCCCAACACCATTAATAATCCAATCAGAAGCTAATAAGTGAGTTGGCCTGGCTGTTAACACTACAATATGTTGCATATCTCTCCAAGTTAGTTTATTATTAGCTTCTAATGTTAAAGCTACTATCCCAGCTGCTAATGGCGCGGATGCAGATGTACCAGTATGATTACTAGTACATTCATGATGAAGATCCGTTGTAATGATCTATAATTTTTAGAAAATGTTCAGTAAATAATTAGGTTTAAATATTTTAAGTTTCATTATAACACATTTTTTTTTTATTACCTGGCTTTCATAATTACTACCACTACTATATGTTGTTGCTAATGTTGAACTACAAGCTTCTGAATACCAGGGAACATGACCATTTTGAGTAGCACTACTTATACTTAATGTCCAAATAGCATTTGTATATCCATCACAGTTACAATTATCATGTTCACGGCCACCATTACCAGATGCCCATATAAATATTGATCCTTTACCGCCTCGACCTTTTGATATGCCCTCGAGGAAAGCTCGAGTGGCTAATTCACCAGGCCCATCGACAGTTTTACCATCATCGTCTGGTCCCCATGATGCACTATAGATATGAATATGCTGAGGATTTAAGCTAAGAGATCGAGCTTCAACAGCATCTGTCACATCTCCATCTAACATCCGAACACCACCTATACTCGCACCAAATGCAATACCAACTGAACACAGAGAATTGTTTGCAGTTGCTGCCACTTCTCCAGCACATCTAGTACCATGGCGATTTGTGTCCATTTGATCATATCTAGGCATTGGGTCTTCATCTCTATTATTCATATCATAACTAGCTGAGGGATCCTATCAAACATACATTTAATAATAACATATTTATTTATAATAAATAATACTAGATTAGTCAAGAACTATATTTTAAACAGACTTACATAATTTTTTATTAGATCTGGGTGGTCTTTTTCTAAACCATCATCTAATATTGTAACAACAGATCCTTTTCCTGTAATCCCCTCTTCCCAAGCACCTTGCACATTCATATCCATATCTCTACCACGGTTCTAAATAATATTAAAATTTAGAGAATTATTTATATTATAATGATATAAATGTATTGAAATAAATATTATTCATAATATAACTAATAAGTAATAATTAACATTGAAAAAAGTTGATACAGGAAATTAAAAACATTCATGACATTGTATATAAACTACAAGGTCATCACGATTTTGAATTAGACAGGGTACGAAATAAATAACATTATATACAATGTTTACACATCATAATATAATATAATTACTCAATGTTTGATTCAAGAAAAGCATTGCAATTATTAATCTTGTTTTATCATTGGTTTTTGATAAAAAAATGAATAAAACATTTAGAAATATAAATAAAATTAATATTATATTTCAAACTACTTACTAAATACCACATTTTTGGCCATTTTGGATCATTTAATCCTCCCTTAATTGCAAATCTTTTTGAACTTCTGCTATCTCGAAAATAAGTTAAGTAATCTCTTTTTGATCGACTTAAAATTGTTTGTTGTTTTGCCCACTTCACCTGAAAAAATAATAAATAAGTGTTTACTTTTTAAATTACGTGACAAATATAATGATTTGGCACTTTTCTTTAAACATTTGTTTAAAGAAAAAAAAGAGATAAATATGTTGATTAATAGATAAAGAAACAATTATGCTAAAATAAATATGTACAAATATGTATAAAAGTATACACATATTTTTCATTTATGAACTAGACTACAAATAGTAACATTCAACATGAATTCAATATATCTTTTATTTTTAAATAGTGTTGTAGCGGTACTTTCATTTAACCAGGTATAGTAAAAATTAGTAACATTGTTATCAGTATAATAATACTAATTTAAATGCTTTTTGTTTAAAAACATGATTTATAGAATAATTTATAAGTATGTAAAGATAATATATAAGAAATATTATAAAATTATTTAAATATATATTTATAATTTATCATACATAGTTTTTTAAATATAAAATAAATTTTAAATGTATATCTAAATTGTCATATCCACATGTGTTTTCTCCATTTTACTAACATATAACATACTAATATTTAGATTTAGCAGTTCCTGTTTTGTGTTGTTAGCTTTAATATTAAAGTGAATTGACTTGTAATAAAACTTGAAGGTAAGATAATTATATGTGTTCTCTCATTGACATTTAAGAATATTTTTAATTTTCAAGCAGGTTATAAGTTTATAAAATATTAAAATTTAATAATATTGATAAAATCTGAACCTAAATACTGAACATGTTATGCGTTAATAAAACGAAGATAATAAGTTATGATGGAGATGTGGGTATGATGTTTTCTTAATATATAAAATAATTCTTTGATCTAAAATTAGTATACTAATTTTAATACATATTTTATATATTTATCCAATTAATTAAGCTATATTTATTTGCTTAAAAGCATTAGTTTATTAAATAATAAATTTACTTATTTCATATTCAACCACCAAATAGATTAAAAGAAGTTTAAAATCTAAATTTTTAAACAATCATTTCACTTTAAAACCATAATCAGTTATCTATACTTTAAAAGTATTATTCAATTTAAAAAATGTTAAACAATAAGTTAAATTTTAAAATTTTAAGAAATAAATCAATCTATATTTATATTTGTTTAGTTAGCTTTTGATACTGATCAATGGAAATCAATCAATCTTGGTGCAGAACAATCATATAATCAAGTATTAGCACAATACTTAAATTATTATAGTTATTTATATCAGCAAAATTATATTTTAAATAACCAAAATAATTTTAACATCAATCCAATTTCAACAAATTTTACAAATACCATTCCAATAAGTGTACTCAAAATGGTAAATAGATCAACAAGTGACAAACAGCCAACTGTAAGACCATTATTTCCACGAAAAAACAAAATATTGCTGCCTCATAAACCTAATATAGAGCCAATGAAACCATTAAAATCAAAAAAAAAGACCTATTTTATGTAAATCTTAAAATGAAAATAGCATTTAAATAATAAATTTATTTACTTACATTTTGTTCTGATGTTAATTTTTTATGATGTTCAAGCCCTGGGTTAACTGATCGCTTCGATACATGATTGTGCTCTAGATGATAATAGTCTGGAAAAATCTGAAATCATTTATGTAAATGTATATACATTACTTTTATTACATAATTTGCACAAATTTTGTGATAAATAAAAGAGTTAAAATATTATATTTGAAAAAAATCACGAGAGGAGAAAGAAGAGATTCATTGGTCTACTCCACAAAATGGATATACCTACACATTTATTTTTCTTGGAAAATGAAGCCATTTATTTAAAAAAATTTTTGTGATATTATAAATAACTATGTATGTTTAGAATTTTAAAATTACAACTAATGAAAACATAAAATAGAACTCTTAATATTATTTTTAGATTTTCTGATAGAAAAATTTAATATTATTAATTATTAGTTATTACTTATCATTCATTTTTGTTCCATAATTTAATTCTAAAAAACCAGACTATTTCAAAAATAGTTTATAGATATTAATTTGGTTGCTTATGCTCAGTTTTTTTTTTGTTTTTTTAAGATATGCTTTAATATTAAATATACATTTTAATTTAATAGAAATCAAAAACATTTGTATATTTATAGCCATTTTAAATTCTACTTAAAAATTTGCCTTATATTTAGTAATATACCTATCAAAAATATATTTTATACCATTCAGAACGAAAAAATTATAAGTTAGACATAATTAGTAGAGTAATAATAATTTAAAATATTCCATATATAAATATACAGGGAGATTCACCAAGCATATTTATCCTTTTTTTTTTAATAATAAAATTATTCAAAATCTGATTTTTTTCATTAATAATAAATTTATTCAATTTTTATTTTTAAATCATTTAATAAAATTAAAGAATTTATTTTTAAATAAGAATCTTCCTTTTCTATTGAAAATTATTTACTAAATAATTTATAAAAATATTGAATACTTATTTAAAAACAGAAGTTCTTACCGCCATAAGACATTTTTAAGTAGTACAATAAATCTTAAAAATTAAAAATTTAGTTTTTAAATATACTTAAACAAATTATAAAAGTATTAAGTTTAGTTTTATTAGAAAATTAAAAAAAAAAAAACAACAACAGAATTTGAATTAATCAGTTATTAAAGGAAAATAGGGATAAACATACTTGATATATCACTCTGTATAAGTATAAAATAGTACCCAAGTTCATTATTCATAAATAAATTAATTAGTTTTTTTTATGAGTACATTTTAGCTATTTAATATCTATTACAAGAAAAATGTTATTTAATAAGTACCAAGCAACTACATGCAAACAGTTGAGTTGATCAATATTATACATAGGTCATGTTGTAATAGGCTAAAGGTGATCTGTAGAATCGAATAGTTTATTTTATAATTCAATACACAACCTATACTATCAATAGTTGTTACAATTTAAATATTAATTTAATTATATAGGTATTTTATATTTGTTAAGTCAAGTAAGGAATATTTATAATAAGTAGAGCAAATTATGTTTTAAATAATATAATTTGTTAATAATTACTATTAAAAATTAAAGTATTATCCACGTTGTATTCAATAGAACATTATTATTTTGTAAAATAAATTCTATAATAAAGTTTTAAAAACTATGAGTTTTGTTTTTAATATTGCTTGATTACATTATTGTGTATGTCTCAATTACTAGAAAGTATAAAGATAAAATGGAAATAAATACGCAATATCAAGTTTGTTTGAAAATACTTGCATTTGTTACATGATGATCATAATTAACAATTAACCACTACAATTTAATTAATTTTTTTCTCTTACCTTAAATAAATAGCTTAACCTAATTATTTATGCTAACTCAGAACTATTGTAAACCTAATCATATTCAAATTAACTAAGGACTTTTTTCTTTTTTGATTCTATAAGTTGCCATACATTACAACATATCTGTTTCTTGTGTTAGATTTAATTTATAAATATTAAATAAACAAATATACTAAAAAATATAAACACACAGTGATAATAATTAGTACAATGTGAGATATTTAATCATATGTATACTACTATTTTAAATACCTAAATATTGTTTAATTATGATCATAGTTTAAAAAATTAATTTATTATAGTATAAGGAAATATCAATTGCATAACATTAACATTTCATTAATGGTATTATATTTATAATCATATCTAGTTTATAAAAATATTCATTAATCAATTATGATTAAGAAAATTAATTATTTCAAGTTTAATAATACGAATAGTACCTACTACCTATAAAATGTGAATAGTTTAAATGTATTTGATTTGTTATAACTTATAAGTTATAAGTATTAAATTAATTGCATTTTGCACTATGTTAATATGTTATTAACTATGAAAAAGTACTAACTAGTATATCTAATATGTATTATGATAATACAGAGAACTATTGTCAATTATTATTCATATATAAATTATCATTAAATAACACTACAGTCTGAAATCAGGTAGATACATATAAATTACTACCTATATCAATGTTTTAAAATTTAATTCTAACAGAAGTTTTTTTTATAATACTCAATAAAATATAATATATAATGCATAATATTTAAAATCATTAATTTAAATTATCCGTGTTATTGTTATTAATAATAAATAATTCAAATAAGTCATGAATTATTAGGTACGTCTAAATAATTAAGTATACTTATCAATTAAAAAAAATTTTCTCAGATGTTCATGATAATGCTCAACATAACATTATTATCTAACAGATATGGGAGTGATATTTAAGTGAGAAATAAAATGTCAAATAAACTGCTGAGACTTCTGTCTTTTTGCTAAGGTTTTTGTATATTACTAGAGAATACATTTTTTAATTATATTTTGACACTCAAAAGTTACAATAAATGAAAATTAATAACCTACAGTATATCTTAACAACTAATGTACTTACACTTTATCTATGTAAGACATTATAAATTGAATTGATTTTAAGATATTATGTTGCTTATTTACAAAATATGATGCTATTTTTATTTAATTTATAACATTTATCACCATTAGCTGAGACAATTAGAATTTTTAATAAAAATAAAAGTAAACTGTTATGAAGGATATAATATAATATGTTATAAAAAATACTTAAAAAAAATCATTAGATGAACTTGCTATAAAACTAGTAAGTATTTAATAATTAAAAAATATGAAAATTAACAACCCTTTTTTTTGTACTTATAAACCAAACCAGCATAAAATTAATGTAACAAAATACTAAATAACATGAAAATTTTAAATTTTAAATTAAAAAAATTAATTAAATTTGTCTTTTCATATTATTGTTATTAGACATTGTTATTAGACAACACATCAGCTACAAGGTTGTTAACCAAATCAATAATTCAGGATCAATAGAAAATATTATAGGTTGTTTTAATATATACAATTTTTGCTTGAAAGAATTGGGAGTTTATTGATAAAGTAAAACAAGATTATTTACCTCCCCTAGCAAAATAAATCCATGTTTTTCTGTAATTCTTTTGGCTATTTCTAATCCACCTTCGATGTGAGCTGCCCACTGAGAAGAATAGTCTTGAGCTGAAATCCATTGTAATGTGACTATCCATAATAGAAATGAAACCGTGCAGGCAGCCATGACGCTCGCCCAACACCGGCCAATTGTGGGAAGACTCAGTTCTCAACATCAGTCGTATGACAAGAAAAATGAATGAGGATGATAGTCGTCATGCTGATTGATTATGTATGATACGCTGCTCCACATTAAATCAACAAGACAACAATAAATTCTCGTTAAGACTGTCTAGAAGACACTATACAACACTACATTATATCTTCCATTTTTGAATGGTCTAGTCACATTCTCAAACCAATCACAGAACTCGGGACGAGTCTTACGATCATACATTAGGGTGAAATCATTATGAAAATACAGTTTATAACAACAACAACTTACATCTACGTCACAATTGACTATCAGACGAAGTCCCTGACTGCATGGTGTAGGTGGGTAATAGCGCACGTCAGCGAGTGAGACGAATGTAAAACTTTGATGGCGGCGGCAATATTATCGGCAGAACAGTGAATACGAGTTACAGAATTCACAGTCGCCGCCGAATTCTAACGGTACAAAAAAATTAGTCTATTCGCTAGGAAACAAATTTTAACGATTCGGCGAGCTTGATGACTAGTGCCTACTACTTGTTCGTTGCACCAAAACGCTATCAGTGCGCTACTGCTTACAACTTGCTGGGATCGGTAATTGGTGTGTGCGTGTGCGCATATAAATAATACGTTCACCTTCACACGGTGGCGACGGTCCGCGACTGATAAGTGATAAACTGATAACCGATTAGCTACTGTTTGTAGATAACGACAACAATGAGTATGTATATACGTGTATATATAAAAAAAAAAAATCTATCTACCTACACAATAATACGATTTGATAATTTACTTTGAGTAGTTAACTCAGTATACAAAGTGATCGATTTAAATATTTTCACACGTTATTTCAAAAACTAATTAACAATTGAATATATTTTATTTGAATGTAATTAAAAATGTAGGTAGTCTTTCAATTTTAGAAAAATTAATCTGCTCCAACCGAAATAGTCGAATTGCATTTATTACCTATCAAAAAATGGTCGAATTGCACTTGGGTTGAAACTGTTACGAGTCGAGTATATATATAGTGGAAATCTGCCTTTATAAAAGTTAAAAATATTACGAACTTTCTTACTACAAAAATGATTGAAATGAAAAAAAAATATAACAAAGACAATAATTATGTTTGATGATTTAAAAAAAATCTATATTATTATATATATTAACATAATGGTATATTGGTGTGTATAAAACAATCCAATGACAAAAATTATTATCAGTCCTAAGCCTGCAAGTGGGGGGAAGAGAAATTAGTTTTTTATAAACGTTTAATTCTTTCAAATGCATGATTTTTTTTGTTGAAATACTTTTTTTAAGCACAAGTGCAG